CACCGGCCACCCAGGCCGCTCGAGCAGCAGCGCGGCTCCGCCGCCGCGGTGCCTGCTCCTCGCTCGGCACCGGGAGACCGAGGCTCTCCGGCCCGCCTGAGGTCCGCGAGCCCCGCGTTCACCGGCCACCCAGGCCGCTCGAGCAGCAGCGCGGCTCCTCCGGCGCTTCGTCAGGTCATGGATCCTCGCGGGAACGCGGATCGTCGCCTGCGGACACACAGAAGGAAGAGGGAAGTTACTGCCGGACCCCCAAAGAGCAGCAGTGTCCGGAGGACCCGCCTTTCCAACTTGGCGCCGGGGGATATACCTCCAGCCGCCGCCCAGCGCGCGGGCTCCGTCCGGCCTCAGCCTCCTCCTCCCAGCTCTGCTGCCGCGCCGCCGGAAAAGGCGCCGAGGAAACCGCCTCACTTCCCCTCCCGACCACGCAGGCGCAGCAGAGGCCGGCCGTTCGGACCAGCGCGACCTCTGTCAAAAGAGCGGCCCGCGCGCCCGGGCGTCACGGGCGCCACGCGCCGAAGGGGCGGGGCTACGGTGGCCCGGAGAGCTCGCAGGTGCGGCCCGCTCGCAGGCCCGGCAGCCTGGGTTCGGACCCGCGACCACCTGTCACTGCTCCAACGTCTTTGTCTCTCCCTCGCGGCTTGCTCTGCCGCGCGCTGCCCTCCGCACCTTCCGCCCCCACTGGGGAGTGAGTCCGCTCAGGCGCCCGAGAGGGGGGCTCTCTGACCGCCCGCGGCCCCACGAGCGCCTCCCCTCGCCTCCAGGCCCGTTCTCAGACCTGGGCGCCCCCCAGAGCCCCGAGAGCGCCCTTCCTCCTGCCCGGACCCTGCGTCCCCTGGACCTCCCGGAGAAGCCCTGTCCGCGGATGTCACCCGCTCCCCACCCTCCCTGGCTTCGCCGCCGCGTGTCGGTGCGGCTGTGAGGCACGCGGGAAGCCCGCGCTTCGGGCGGAGTCGGTCCGGGCAGCGCTGGTGCCGGGCTCGGTTTGCTCCGAAGCCTTTCTTTTGAGTGGTTGATCTCCCACTATCTCATCAGGGCCAGCCCACGTTTTTAAAAATCATAGCATTATCCAGAATCCCCGTACTTCTCTGCGTTTTCAACTTTTTAGGATGCCAAGGAAGGATTTTTACGCTTAACCCCTTTCTGTGATTAGCAGTAGTCTTTTTCAGTAAATACTATCAACCAAGGAGGTGGGGGGCGGAAACCGGAACTAGTATTTGGGTGTGTTTTCCCCTAAGTGTTGTGATATAGCAGATGTAACATTATTTCTTTTCAAATTTAAGAAAAAAATGATAATGGCAGATATCAATTTTATGAACTCCCATTTCTTTACCTGTAAACTCAGGTTAACGTTCGACCGAAAAACAAAAAACTTGTGGAGTTGATTCCAAGTCCTAGAGCCCCTCTAGGCCTGGGTAGGACTGCCCTTGGGGTTTTCGGAGAGGGTAACTCTTTATGGGGGAAGAAAGACCAGACTTTCTACTCCAGTAAGGAGTAACCAGCTCAGAAACCCACCAGGGCAGTTCTTCCCTGGCCTGTGGGGTAGTCAGTATTGACTCGATGACACTGAGTTTGCCTGTGTTTTGTTTTTTAACTCTTTTTGGTAGTAGAAAGCCTCATCTTTTCCCCACGGAGTGGCTGGTGGTCTCGGGCACTGTGCTAGGGCTAAAAAAAATTCTTTTTAAAAGCCATTTCCGATTTATTTAGTACAAGAAAGCATGTAGAGGGGGAGCAGGAATGGAGGGGGAAAATGAGGACCTGATACCAGAGGCTTAAGTAGAGAGCAAATGTTTTGAGGATGGTGAGGGCAATGAATGAACAAATGTGCTTTACACAATTGATGTATGTATGGATTGTGATAAGAGTTGTATGAGCCCCTAATAAAATGATTTTTTTTTAAAAGAAAGCATGTAGTAGGTATTAGCGAAATCATTATGTGATTAAATATATTATTTGAATGTCCTTTATAATACCACAATGTAAGGCAAAACAAAAGAGGAAAGGCACATACTATTTTAGGTTAAATAAGTTAACTGACAAGCTTTCATATAGCGATATAGCTTAGAGTATGAAGTAAAGTGGATCATCATACTATAAGTTATATTAATAAACTATTTTAAGAAATAATTACAACACACAGCAAATGATAATAATGGCCAGAAAATAAATACAGACAATGGAGGGGAAAAAACTGGGGAAATTTTAATAAAACATAAACAACTGCAAGAGGTCACTGGTGTGACATTTTGTTTTCTTGATTTCCTCTTTAAAGTTAGGAGCAATTTAAAAAGTATTTCTATCCAGTAAAAATTTTTAAAAGTACACTAAAATCAGCATCTATGGAAACAATATTACACCTTCTAGTTTGCACTGTATGACTCAATGAAAATATTTCTTCAACTTACTTATAAGCCATGCTTCCCTGGAAAATACCACTTCAAAATTGTGGAATTGGAGTTTTGTTGTGTATATTTTTGCACAATAAAAAATAAGTACATGAAAAAGTGATTGTAAAGAACTGAATAAAAAAACATTTTAAAAGAAATTAACAAAAATTTTTAGAGTGAGAATGGTTACACAATTTTAAAAATGCCATCCATGCCCCCGAATTGTACTTGTTGAAATTGTTGAACTGGTGTGTGTTTTGCTGTGTTTATTCTCAACAAAAAACAATAAGATAAAAAAATAAGGTATGTGATAAAAAATAAACTATCCTTTCCTAATTTCTTATCTCTCTAAGAACAATTGTGATGATAGGGTCATTATGAGAGTCCAACAGACTCAGTACCCTAACAACAACAACAACAATCTTTCTAAACCACAAGAAGCGTGCTTTTGACATCCTGTCTAAGACGCCAGCTTTTAAGAAAAATATTGACGTACTTTTTAAAAATGGTTTCTATTGTCTGATTTTTAATGAAATGAATGATAATAAGAGCACCTTTAGAGGATGAGCAGTGTAGGAGGGCTGTGACTGGTAAAATAGTTTGGACAAAGTTGAGACAGGTGGTACAACTTGGAAGACTGTAACCAACATCACTGGAATAAGTGTAGAGATTATTGAAGTGGTATGTTTGTTTGTTTTTCTTGAAGTGGTATGTATTTTAATATAAACTTTTTCACCAAAATTTCCCCCATTTCATTCAATGAATGATGATTCTCTAATAATAACACCCTCACTATTTGCTCCTATTTCTGAATCCCTATGACTTTTAATCCTTTACTATTGCATCTTGAGACTTGATTTGTTTCTTCAACCATTGAGCGGTTGAGAATCTTCACTAGATTTTGGACAAGTGAACTGTGCTTACCCAGTTAACTGATCAATGTCCTGGTCTAAACTTCAAGAGATTTTTAAATTCCAGAGTTGCTGGGAGAAGTGTCCTGAGTGACAGAGTCTGGCAGCTTGGTAGCAGATGCCCGGTGGCAGGATACTAATGGTAACAAGTGTTATAGCAAAGGCTGCAGTGGAGCATGTCCAAAATCAACTGCTCCTACTATGGTATAGTCCTGACAGTGCCTGTTTCTCTACAGCCTTCCTAATGATTCTTCGAGCTTCCTACTATGCTTCCACTAAAATTATGTTCCACTTAAGTTAGCCAGGGCCAGTTTTGTTTGTAACTACCCTCAACACCACACCTTTTATTGGAAAAATGCAAAATAAAATCATTTATCATCATAGTATAAATTCAGCATCTGACGGGCAGTCATAATAAATGTCTTGGTTATTTTCTTTTATTAAGCAGGCATTTGAAAAGGAGTCAGACAAGTAGAATACTAGGATCATTGTCATTATTAAAATTATACTCCTTTTCCAGATAGTTCATGAGTATATTATTTTCATATCAATCATTTAAATATTAAAATAGTTGTAGTGAGAGACATTATTTTATACCCTGTAGATATCCCTAACATCCTCTGTTAAGAAGCATATAATTGCAGAAATTTGTTTTTCAATGTTAGAAAAGTTTCGAGCTAAAGAAAGATTATGGCTTCAGTCCAAGCCAACAAAGAGTTTACTATATTGATGCTCTGAGAAAAAAAAGGTTTTAAGAATAAAGACGCTAAGTTATTCAGACTATTTAATGGCTTGAATATTTGAAATGAAATAATAAAACAATAGGACACACAGTGTTTTCAGTAACATTTGTTGCCATCAGTTATGCAGCTATGTTGCTACACAGTAACTGAGTAGCTGCAAGTGTCATGCTGACGGATGCCCTTCGGCAGGATGGTATGCTCCAGGAAGACTCGACACCCGGATATCTGAGCACTGAAATTACTGTCCTCCTTCGTAGTGGCTCCAAGTTTAAATGTCCTAGTTTCTATAGGTTTGGGCTTTATTTCTGTTTTGTTTGTCTCCCCCTGTTGTTAGAGCTATATGAAAGCCATGGCACAGAAGCAAAGCATATTTCTAACTGGTGAATATGCCAAAATGGTATCAAGCAAATAAATTTACTAATTGGAGGTCTCATACAATGTTGTAGTTAGTTGTTACTGAGCTGATTCCTGCCCTATGTGTGCAGAATAGAATCTTTCACTGGGTCTTTCAAGGCTGTTACGTTCCGGAAGCAGATTACCAGACCTCTCCTCCTAGCTGCTTCTGAGTCGCCTGCTGTTCAGAGGTTCTGCTTCTGAAGAGATCCTTCTAATGACAAGCATGGAGATAAAAAGGCAGAGGAAGTTTCCATGTTACAGTACTA